ACCTTTGATGCGAAATCCATTTCGATTCAGGTTCACCCAAAAATAAATTAATTTAGTGGGTCACAGAAACAGCATTCTCGGTAGTTCCGTGCTACGTGTTCATATATGCAATTCGATGTGGATTTTATGGTCCCTTTGAGAATAACTAATTTCCTCAACAATAAATAATTGTGTCTAGACTACTTAACGTTTGTAACCTGTGTCTTTAGTGTAGCATGGTTTATTTAAAACATTTATTATTCACCTAGGCAAAATCAATGTGCAGCATGTATACGTAAACGAAGGCATGTGCGCTTGACTCCAAACACTTTCATTAGTGTGGTGTCGGAAACGAAAGCACTGGTAAACAGCACACAATGCTGTCGCGGATGCAAAACTACGTTTGCCTTTTGCTCTCGTAAGTTATGCTTGGAAATTAATGAGATCACTCCCTGTTTATGCAATAAGAACGATGTCAGACGACATTGAGGGCGAGGTTGTGGCTGATGAAAAATAAACAAAAGCTTTAGTATTTCTCAATTTACAATTTATATGGAAAAACCGTACAGTTTTTGGCCTCTAAATTCAATTGAAAATTATAATTAGAGTTGACCACTACATGGAAGCATAGATAGCATTTATTGCAATTGACAAATCAGATTATAAAAAATTGCCAGCTGTATGTCGGTAAATAAGAAAGCTGTGAAATTTGGTGGAGGAGATTAAAAACAGTTTATTATTGATGTTCAATGCTTTTAAGTACTGCCAAACTAAATAGTAAAGCCTGTTCTATTTTGCACAGGGACGAAATTGCGCTGGATTAGTTTACCTAACTGATGAAACCCAGACTCTTAAACTCACTACAATTTTCTACCATTAGACCATGTCATGCTTGACTTTCGCGTGCTATTGCTGGGTCTGATTCATTCACTTTAGACCTCCACTGACTGTGACATTAATGACTTGAGCCCGTTGACTTGGGGATTTTAATTCAAGTCGTGGACGACGTAGCCCAATCTGTTTTGTCAAAGAAGCACGATGTAAATTCAAATTAGGTTGACGATTGGGTAGTCTTATCATAAATGTGAAAAGTTACTCCGACGTAGGTGATTTTGACAGCTTAAATTACAAATTATTGGTAAGACAGGAGTGCTGGAAATACCTTAGCATGACAGCAGATGCACATTCGGTGCATTTGCTAGCGAATTGCACAAACACACAATTTAAGACACCCCACGACCAGCAGATTATTTTCTTGGTTTAAAAATAGTTTATCAACGAAGTTGATTTTGTCAGACACGGTGGCTGTAAAGATTATCAGCTTTTATCTGTGAACCCCGTCAACAGAAAAATTTCAACTTAAAATGCTCATGATAGGTACTCAACCCCTTTCATCTAGTTTTTAGCTTGAAATTGGTAGCTATCTCAACTCGCAAATCAACTGAAGAGGAGCATTTAAGAGGTCTGAATCCACAAGTAGGGATGGACAAATGCCTTCCTACGTGCCTTCGATGCCTTCCTCACACATTGACAAGACCTTTCAAAGCACCGCGATGGAGCTAAGGGCCATCGAGTGACCCAGCCTACCCACCTTTTGCTATGGTCTGAGAAAACGTCTATAATATGACGATTAAGTTGGTTTCTACTTTAGGTTAACTCAGCCAAACGATCTTTCAACCCCAAATGCTTTAAAACCATGCCTTTAAGTCTGGCCAACTTGTTTGCTTTTTAAATTAAAACCTCTTCGCTAATAACCACATCCACAAACAAGTTGGGATATCGTTGCGGAGGCGGCGTTAGCCAATTCAGATGCCCCCAACTATTCCATTTCTCCATGATTTTCTTCAACAACCAAAAAAAAAAGAAAAAAAATCATTAAAACACTCACCAACTCCTAGACGTATATGTCAATTTACTCTTCAAAGTTACTGTGTAATTTTTCGTGAATTTCTACTCAAGATTTGTCCTTTTTGTTAAATTTAAAACCAGGTGTCATTTAGGGTGGCACGTATTGTACCCAAATCAACTAAAAAAGCAAATGATAATGTTCAATGTTGTGCAAAACATGCCAAGCACAGTTTGAAGAGGAACCGGAGGTGGTTTATTTGTAAAAAAAAGCGATGGCAAAAGTAAAGTTCCAATTTTCTTCATGATTAGACGCTACTTCGAGAATGTGCTGTGGCCTCCTATTCGACATGCATATTCGATTCTCCCGCCCCAAAAAGGAACGAAATTGGTGTAGTTGGAGCAATAAGCGCGACAGGAAATTTCTTTTACTGAAATGCTTTTCAATCTAAACCCATTCCAGAGGCATACCTAGGTCAAAAGAACCTAGTCAGAAATATTTCCTCCAAAAAACACCAGAGATGTCAACTTTCAGATGGCCGTAACTATGGATTAGATCCATTAACTCGGCAAGGAAGGTAGATGACCTTGCGTTCCTTTGGAAAAAATAACGTGGGCCTAGAGAAGCAAACCAAGCCAAGTCTTAAAATAATTTTAGTGGGCCTAGGCCCAAGAAAACTTTTTTTGCTAATGAACTATGGTCTTTTGCAGGGTCAGGACCTTTTAGAAATTCAACCAAGACACACTAGGCTAGGCCAAATAGTTATTAGTTGCAAAAATAAGTAATGTGAAGCAAAAGGGAAAACAGTGGATTTGCACAAATATTGTCATTCTGAAAGCCAGTCGTATTCGGGTGTCTTTGGACACACAGAATGTCAAGCGTGAAACCGGGTAAAGCCATCACTTCAAAAGGACATGTCTACTTTGGCGACGTGCTCAGCAGGCCTAACTAACATGCCTTCCAGTGGTATTGTCTAAGTTGGTTAATGTAAACTGGACGGATGTGTAGTGAGTAATAACACTATGTTAAGTGGCATAATGTTACTGCACCGATAATAGATCCCTCAAGGTATTTTACCACTACCGTCTTGTTTGCTTAGGTAGGCACAAGAACCACTAAGGTTGGTAAAGTACGTGAGGCGTTTAGTGTATGGCAAAATTATGCGGGTGCTCATTCGCTGCTGCCACAGCATAAATGCCGAATCAAGTTTCCATGGAAGTTACCAAGTAAAAGGTCATTTGTTCATACTGCATACGCAGGAATATTCAGTGCCTCAAGCAGCAAGCGGGGAAACGATTTGTAATATAGGCAAAAGAATTTATTCACACATTGCATTCCTCTATTACAGTTATCCTAGTCTACAAAAGGAAAGATTTTTCTCTACAGAAAATAATTTCACATTTGGGTCAGAATGTTTGAAATCGGTTTTTGACACAAAATGTAGAGACTGCTAGACAGTCTTTTATCGCCCATGTGCAAGGACCTATTTAGTAAATGCCAGAAATTAATGCATTGAATAGCTACTGATTCGGGGCAGAGGCGACTCCTGGCCAGACACGCCCTCCGACTGGGAAGACCTGCAGTTAGGGTTTCGCGAAGTTACCTTGACAACTTTTGAATTGAGAATGAGCCCAATGATTTGTGGCCTATTAATGAAGTGTAGGCTTATTAATCAAATTGTAAATGCATGCGAAACTCGGAATTCAAGTAAGCAGAACTGAGGACAACGTCAAATCAATCCTTTTTTACTACAAGCCGAATTAAATAATGTTGGGCACGTATTACTAGGATTTCTGGAAGCGAGGTTTCTCATAAAAATTGTTCTGGTTGCCGTATGGCAGAGAGATAAAAAAGACCGCTCTTACGATGCCCAGCGGAGGCAAGTTGAAGTGACTAATGACCTCCTGGGCACACGTAAAACTTAGTGATCAATTGACCAATGGGGAATTATTTCGCTTGCATACCTAGGTGAATTTCCTGAGTGTCTGTAATCCGTTTGCGTTTCAAGAAGGGTAATAGTGCAGTATTGTGGGGTTATCAGTTGCTTCTACACCCCATTTACCTATGTTCGCATTTTCGGTACGTGTGACCTTCTCCATAAATGGAATTAGAAGCAGTTCGAAGTTATTAATTAGATTCGGGGGTATTGTTTGAGAACAACGAAGAAAGTAACTTTTCATAACCAGTCTTGTGGCTTAAATATTATTTAACCTGGCTACTTATCAAATTTGCAAAATAATGAACTGTTCTGAAGAACCGAATGAATTAAATTACCTGAGAACATAATCACAAAGCAAAGTCATTTGAAGCACGGTATATTGTATTTGAATGAAATTCAAGCATTTTCCTTGACAAATGGTGGTGTTCATTTTAAAAATACAGCTTCCATGCTCTTCGTTGTAAAGGGCTGTGCTGTAGGTTAATAATTTTTCAGTTTTCCTTTTCCAAAATACATTCTTCATTCAATAAAGGTTTTTAAACGCTTAACATGGCAGTCTAAAAAGTCTGCCTCAGAGTGGATAGCATGCAAGGAAGCAACTTGTCTGCGTTGGTAATTACGCGCCCGCCCGATTTTGCACGGTTCTTATTTTTATCTTTTCGAAAATATCATTCCCAAATCCCCCTTGGTTGATTGGAAAGTCGTGTTTTATATCCCCAAGAACCAAGAAAAACAAGCAAACTATTGGCTGAGACCAATCACGAAGGGCACGATTGAAATGACAGAGGTCGAGTATTTTAAAAATTATCCAGACGACTTTCGCGAGACTACTCTCTGCACAGACCTTACCAAAGACATGCACTACAATCGCCCTTTTCGTCCGTCTTTAATTAGGCACTGACTGAAGAATCGTAACGCAACCAATAGAACCCTAGTTTGCTTAAACAACGATGTCACCGTTCAGAAAATTCAGAAATCAACACAAAATGACAGTTCCGGTTTAGTAAAAAAACAAGTGCCTACTTGCTTATTTACTTGCACACAACTACAAGCAAAAACACTCTTGTGCATCCAAGTCGTAGATCCATTACATTTTTATTGTTCATAAAAGGCTCTATACTTAACACTACTTTCTCCTATATCTTCTACCACAAACACATTTATTCAAGAGAAATGAAGTTACGCACACATGGATGAAGAAGTGCAAAATACAGCCCATGATTCCAGCGAACACACTCAAAGCCTCTCATCGAAAACAGAAAAATTTTGCGCTGTGGCATAAGCAAGGAGTGCTTGGACAGCCTGATGGACCTCGAGGAAGCGTCGAGCGTCACGAATCCAGTCGGCGGCGACAGCTGCGGGTTGACCCTTCAGCTGGGAGAGAAGACGCACGGCAAATTCGATGTCCGAGCAGTTTGTGGGGTCTACATGCACAGGTGCGTCTACCTCAGGCATGAGTGCCGCCCGAGCACTCGTCAGGAGGCAAAAAGTGTCCAGCGCCTGACCGTCCTCAAGGATTTCGCTTTCCGGAGTGAGGAGTGTCGAACCGAGACCGGGAAGGCGGGAGATGATTCGGCGACGACCAAGACTATCAAAGAGGAGCTTTGCTTGGAGCCAGGAGATGGCGTAGTTCCAGAGTGAGCCTCCAGTTTCACTCACCAATGCCACATTGCAAGACGTTTTGTAGACCTGGGTAAAAAAATTTGGAATTAATAGGACCTGACCTTTGAGTGAACTACAGTAACATTAACACTGAAATTCGTGTGGAAAAATTAAAAGCCTCAAAATAAACAGCGGATAAAGTCCAAAACATTGTCCCCAAATATCGGCAAGTAAACACCGCCAACTTTTTTTGAAAACAAAGGTAAAATATTACAAAATATTTTCACAAAAAGTCACAAACAGTAAACCGCCTTCTACTTAGGTGCAATACTCCACTCGCCGACGTGGGGACAGTAATTGCGGGCAAGTTTAGGTACATGAACTGTAATTATCAGAGCATTCAGGATAATTTAATTAATTGTATCACAAGCACCACCGCCTAGATATTCAGTGCCTTAAGGCCCCTAATTCTAAATAAGTAAATGCGTTACGATAGGTTTTAAAGCGGTCTACACGCATAAAGGTCATAAATTCTTCTACCCCGGAGTCAGGTAATGCACAGGTAACGACGTAGCCGTTTCACGCTCACGATTCGCATAAGTTCTTCCAACTGACTAAATAAATGCCTACAAATGGTTGCAATGGGTATGTTCGAGTACAAACGGGCGATAAAACATACGACGTGTACAAACGGCAGACTTTTATTAGACAAACGACTAATCATACATAACTTTAACTGTTTCATTTTTTACAGTACATACTCTATCGGGGTAAATCCAATCAGCACCACCACCGCCACTGAAGTTGGCGACGGCAAATAAGCATGATGATGCCACGGGGACCGCATTCTGTCTACTTACTCAGAGCTGACCCGTTGCTAAAGAATGACCAGATGGCAAGACATCACAGCATGAACCTTTTGCAAGTGGCTCATCTGTAAAATTACAACTTCAGCCAATCACAAAAAAATGTCTAAACAAAAAAAAGATTATACCCCACGTTAAGGCTGCTCGCCTGAGACCAACAGATGGCCCAAGGAAACCGTGACTAGTAAGTGTGCAATTAGAGCTTAAGACCATAGGTCCAAATAGCTACCTGTCGATGTCTCAGGCCACCTTTTGGCGTCCTACTCACTGCTCCAAGTAATTTGAATGAAAACAAGACCTAAAGACTTTCAGTTTATTTTTTTTGTCTTCTAGCCTGCATAATTTGAAGCGCGTCAACATGCCAAATATCGTGACATCCACAGGCTAGAACAATGCCCGAGCGGCAAACGGTCAGGAGTTAAACGATTGAATTGTTCCGTGTGTGTTACAGTATATGTGTGCAAAAGGCATTCTGAAATTCGACTTAGGCTAAATCAAAAGATCAGGCGTATTTCCGTGTATAGCACGGACCGAAGGTCGCAAATAAAAAACCAAACCCTTAGGAAATGGGCAAAAACGAAAGTGAAAATGAGCGAGCGGTTAAATACAATTTGTGGGCAACACACGCTAAAAATATGTGAGTTAACTGTTCTGACCGACACAATACGAAGGCAATTAACATCAAAATACCCTAGCATAGTTTCAAAATGATTACAAATGATATGGATGAATTTACAAGGGTATTGTCATGGTTAACAAAGAACCTGGCATAACCCTTTTAGAAGCCTAGGAGGCTTCGTGCTGTGTACATAAAATTCGAACACATCGGAAATTGTGCAACAGGAAAAGTGCATAGGGACGCATATTCTTTAAATCGACTTAGATGAACAGTGGCGGCGCAGTGCCATCTCAGTGAAGAGGGAAATGTGTTTGCAATGAATTTAAACTGGAGTTAGAGTGGCGACAGAATAGAAGGAGTGTTAAGAACTTCTCAGCCCAAACACAAGGATTAATCGCGGCGTTAATCCAATGATAGAGCGACGCAAAAGAAGAAGAAAGTATAAGACAGCCTTGTCCAAATTACTTCAAAAAAAGAATCACTTCAAGCCTATTAGGATTATACAACGGGAGAATCCATCCCAGCTCATGCGGACGCTAAGCCGAATTCGCGTGAAAAAAAACGAAGTCAAAACAGCATTCGATCATCAAAAGGCCTAATTTACCAAGGAAAGAGAAATTAAAACGGCTAGACCTCGTAAAACAATTTCCTGACCACCCGCATCAGTTTGTAGAGGTCGTTACCGTGCTGACGAGGTGAGGTTTTGGGACCTTAAAAGGCCACTTTTGGCCAAAACTATCTAAACGAAGTAAACAGGCATGCACGTTTTGGAATTGAAAAAGTCGGGGCATGGATTGGCATGAAGTACAGTGATCCACATGCTTTCGGGTTGTTAAGTACGGCCCAAACAGCGTAGGATTCGCAATATTATATAAAAACGGATGGGTACTTCAGCTCAGTACTTCCATTCACAGATTGAAATGCTTACATTAGAAAACCATACGCTACGTTTAGACAAGCTGGCAGAGAAAATTTCAGGAATTCTGTCTCTACACATACTAGTGAATACCGCGGATTTCATCAAGAATAAAAGCGTTTTCGAGGTCTTAAAAACACTCCTTGAAAACAAATCATACCATGTCTTTTTGAGGTATATGATCACTATAACCATTGAGCATTGTTCCCGAGCGTGCGGAAAGCAACAGACTGGCTTGACAAAATGATCGACTACCACAGTACGCAATTACTTTCTTTCGCTAAATTATTTGTTGAAATTTGCAAAAAATATAGTAAACATTTTTCTTAGCAATAATTCGTATTTCATGACTTTACCTAATTGGAGCCCGCATGCTTGGGCTCTTGAAAGCGATTACTTAGGAAGTAAGATTTTTTGGTTGTTCGCAAATTCGGACCCACACTGCAAACATGAGTTTATCTTTTCGTATCGAAACTGGCACCATCCTATTTGGGTTTCAGCAATGATTAGTGATTTTTATCATGGATGCATGACTTGACTATCTGAACTATTACGGCTTCAATCAGGTAGCTAATTTAATTGAGCAAATCAGCTACATTTTACGGGTACCGTCACGGTCAGCCAGGTTAGTGATGTCATGGTTACATACTTGAAAACATAACAGGTGATAAAATTTGCCCTAATTATGTAGCTATAAAACTACGGGCCTTAGAGTAACCGGAGGTTCAGAAAAGATGCTTGCCTTGTTGAATCGTTGGAGAAGACCCTGACGTGTCCACACCCCGTCGGTAAGTGCTTCTCTCGGAATGCCTTCAGCAACCACACTTGCGAACTCATGTCTTTCTCCAGCAGTCTCCTTGACGGCGTCTACAAAACGGCCGAGGGGTTCACTGACATAAAACGGTTTGATGTCACTGAACTGGCGCTCCGGGAGACCTGAGGCGCCAATTTTTGAAAAGGGCATTTCTAGAGCGAAGGCAAGAGCCTCCACGGCGAGCCAGAGAGCCTGAGTCTGCTTAGCGACGCGATCTATGTCTGCGCGACCATCGACGACGTGCTCGATAGCCTCCATGCGGCGAATCCAACGAAGGATGTCGCCCTCGATAGCCGCCTTCTGTTCGGCAAGGGCCTCGCGAAGACGAAAGTCGAAATGGTGTTCAAGCTCCTCCTGCTTGAGTCGAAGCATTTGCGCTAAGTGGTGACTATGGCGGGCCAAAGCAACGGCAAGTTCGTGTTCTGTGTTGTCCTTCGCTTGCCTTTCCTTGAACAAAACAGCCAAAATAAGTTTCATTAGTCGGTTCAACAACACTCTTTTAAGTCAGACATTCTGACTATGTAGCGTTGCTGTCAAACTTTTTCGCGGTTCATTCCAAGCACACATATGTTAATGTACAGGCTACGCAACAAATGTAAGTGAAGAAGGAATTAAACGAATTGGGAGACATAGTTTTTTTGGCAACTTTTAAAAACCCTCAAGTTCTTGAGAATGGTCAACATGACGGAGGAGAGGGATCGATTGTGAAGGGATTAATGTGGTCACGTCGACCGTTTAGCATTTTGGCTAAAACAGATGTGAAGAGGTAACAAAAAGTGCCGCATTTAAATGTCGCTGGCAGATCGAAATGACATTTGGTGAAAGAAAACTTGCACAAAAGATGGTTGCGAAGGAAATTAAATCAGAAACACGAGTTTTTTCAGCAGTAAGTCAGATGGCTACAACACTTCCAGTTAAGTAGCTTCACCTTTAATAAAAGCGAACCTTGACATTTAAGTGGCCATTTTTCTGCCCTAAACGGAAGGTAGTACATACGCATACATAAACCTGACCTTTACGGCTTATGGTGGGATAGGTGGTAAGCCTAGATGCATTGCTAATAAACAAGAACATTCTAAAAACTTCCACATGAACTTCTGTTATCAAGGAAACGAGTTAAGCCCGGTGAAGAGGAAGGCCACAATCCATTGCCTTGATTGAGAAATGCTATGGCATTGAGCAATATGACACAAAGCAGTGCAAACACACGTAGACAGCACTCAGTAATCCGTGTGGAGGCACGGTGGTGTGTGCAATATGGCCGGCTTTACCATGCCTCTGAAAGTGCGGCACACCTTTTTGCCGATAATCATTCCATGCTGGTAAGCCTTAAAACCTTTGGGATCTTCACTAGTACTCACGCCGCCTGCAGCGACGCGCCCACGTGGTACACAGGGAGGGAGGCACACCGTGCTCTGCTCGCTACACCCAAGAGACAGACCCCTGCAAAAGAGCCCAAGCACCGACGTGCCACAGACCGTGGACACGTCAAGTGAATCCCCGTAATTTCTTCAATAGTCTGGCCCAAAATACCAATTAGCATGCATGTCGGCAATAAGCCATGAGTCTCCACAATGTAATTTGAACTCAGAGGGGCACTCAAACCAGTTGTCGTACTTATCAAGGTACCACAATATAAAAATTGGCAGGCTTTGTTTACGAAAAGAGGGCAGTCATCTGCGAATAAATCTGAGAAGGGACTTAATTTGGCATCGGTGCACGCTATACTCGGCTAAAGCTAGCCCAGGAATCGGTGTGACCGTACCAGCGGGCCCCGCAGTAGAGGAACCCCTGCCGTCCGAAATGGTAATCAATCTAGTATCGAAAGCAGTCAAAATGACATTCTAATGAACAGTAGGTAATTTTGGTGAAATGATTCCAATTCATAATAATTAAAAGTACAATAATTTTCAGACTGAAAGATGCAAAAGTAATATGAAAAATTTATTGACATAATTAGTAAAAGAATTACCCTTTACCAAAAAAGGACAAAATGAGGAACATACTGTAGAACGTTAACAGATATTTCTCTTCAAATGGGTTATCATCTCGCATTGATACGCGTTACACAGCAAAACTTCGGCAGTGTATCAAAGTGACTTGTTCGGCCCACCGCAGGACCCGGGACCAAGTAGCTCACCGCGACAGATTAATTCAATTACGCACGACGCCCCATCTGCTCAGGCTATGATATGTTACAAGCAACGACTTGCAAATATTTAATATACTTCAATCAAAAGCCTTAAAACAATGACTGTATTTGCACAGCCAAAGGAACAGTGATAAGAACTCGAGGGTAAGGGCATTAAGTGATATATAATAAGGAAGGTTCAAACACCTGAAAAAAAACATTAAAAAAAGCGAAACCCAACGAGCATTTTTGTTATTAAACGTCGGCAGATAAAAACAATTACGTTCCGGCATACAGCAGCACCTATTCAAAAAGACCGTAAAATATACCAAGCAAGAAGCGAATAAAGTACCAAAAAATAATATAAAAAAGCGAATAGTACCACACAGAAGCGAATTAAACAACTGTTACAATACGTGACAACATTGCAATCTCGAAATCGCCAGGTCTAATAAGTTAGGAAAAACAGTTTCCGATTACAATATCAGTTCAAGATAAAATGAGTTACAGAGTTATAACATGAAATCATGAACAGGAAATACGCAAAGTGAAACAGGCAAACGTCCATAACGAACGACTCCCTTGGATTTAAGCTACGTCCAAATATGATGCGTCTAAATTCGAATATGAAAGCAGCAAAAAGGTACAAAGCAAGGTGAATATTTGGAAGGTTTCCAGTAGAAATGAACTAAACTTACCATTTAATAAGCAACCAACCAGTCAATTTATCATGGCACCATCGACAGTATTGTTAATATCTTCCCAAACAAGTCTGTATTACCTAGCTGTACATGCATTGAATAATGACAAATCTATTGAACATAAACAGCAAACATGGACACGAAAAGCACATCACGAAATTACTAACCCACTTCACACACGGATGCTTTGATCCCTCCACCTAATAGCACCCTACGCATTTGTCACATCTCTGCAGCCCTCTGCAGCAATAGCTCTGTCCACCTCCAAAAGCCCCCAAAACCAATCATGCACAACTCCTTATTTGCAAGACCGCGTGCTCAATCCACACACATGACCCACCACCCCAATCACGCTCCACACCTATTGCGAAGTGGGTCACACACGGAACCACCGATGTTCCACACTAGCGACAGGACTTGTTCTCCACAACGTCGAGGCCTGGTGTTTAACACATCAACGCACACACCAACACTCCACCACCCACTCTGGTTACAAGTGCAAACTGAAGTCTACCCACTCCGACTCCAATTTGCTCTCAACGCGTCCATGGCCCACATTCACTGCACACCAACACAAACCCTTCCAGCCACTCGACAGCAATGCTGCCTGCCACAAACGATTCACGCCCAACATCCGACGCCAACAACCCATGCACACAATTGCTCTGAGTACCACCATCCTAGTGACTTCGGGGTACCTCATGTCCTTTCACAACCGCACTCATCCACGCAAACAAATGACTATGCACGGAGTCGATTAACACGCTCGAAGAGGCACACCACGCGCACTGGCTGCGGTAAGGACTAGTGCGGCAGAATTACGGCCTCCGGTGCATTCTACGCTACTTCCCAAAGACACCCACCAGCAATACAGCTGCACCGCAGAACCCAAGTCGCCCAACAAAAGAACAGGCGACTCGGTCATTTCATTAATGCTGGAGGCACCTCAATGCGAAGTGTATCCATTCCGTCTTGGAAGCATCCATCGTCCTTAAATGGATAGCAAACACTGCGCAAATTCGTCCGTGGCTACCTATAATTGTCTCGGGTGCAGACCAACTTACCTTGTTCAAGTGATCTCAACAAATTAAAGAGGTATATGGTGTTTGGGGTGAACAGGCCCTTGTGAATAAGCAAATGAATCGAAGTAACACAGGAGGTAAAATTTACAAAGGCATAAGGGCCGAAACCGCCATTCCATAGGCATTTTTGGATGTTGCAATGTATATATTCGAATTTTGATTTGAAGTAAAAATACCACCGTTTACGACCGTAAAGTGTTGATACTAATGACCCAGTGTGTATGAACAAACCATTAGTGTCGTGCGTGGACCTGCTAAAAGTACATCCAGCCCCGATTTTGCTACATTTCAGTTCACTTCTCACCCATTATGTCGAATGTATAAGAAGAAGAAGAAAGAGAGCAACTAGAGATGCAGAGATATACACGTACCTGTTAGCGGATACAAAAGAATAATTCATTTTGATGTAAACCTGCAGCTGAATTTCTAATGTTTATAAAAGGTCGTGAAACTGGAAGGAAAAGCAAAAGTCATGGCTTACAAAACGAGGTGGAGATGGTTCTCCGATTAAAACCCAAACGCGATTTGTTAGCGGATCCGGTGTAGAAAATAGACCAAGGTGACATAACAAACACATAGTTTAAACGAAGCCGCCAAATGCCATTCACTGTTTAGTGTTTTTTTTTAACAAGAAACCATTATATAGTCTGACAGTCGTGTTTAAAAAAAATCGTAACAAACTATCACAACGACAGCAATCCACCAAATACACAAAAGCCCTTGATGCTAGACAAAAAGACCACAGGGGAAGTTATCACAATACTAAATCACTCCTTTACTTGCATGATACGCCGGTGGAAGTTAGGCAGTGAGAGTGGGATAACGAACCACATTGGGAGTGGAGATGTAGATTAGCCCCGTGTAGTCATTTATCCGCATTACGAATACCATCTGCACCTAGGGTCAGGGATTGCCTAGTGCTAAAAACAGAGGACGGAATACCGGGGAATCACCGAATACAACCGAATAAAAGTACACGCAATCTTGGTTGGGGAATTTTAAACCTTCCAATAGTTTGACCTAGAAAAGCAAACCGTAATGGGTAAACTAATTAAGCTATTTACACTTACCGCTAGTGGGTGAAGCAACTATGTGTGTGGAATATTATGGAACCCGCGTGAATTCTTTTCCAATCCACAGAGCATGAGTGCGCAAACGAAATGCGAACAAACCCTTAAATTATTAGTGACACTCAATTGAAGAGAATGCTCAGCACAAAGATCCACATTCAGCGAGTTACAATAAAATTTGGCCACATTTAAAACTGCATTACGGAACATGCTTTCAAATTACAACTTTAAGGTAAGAAACTTGACTAAATACAAAATGGCATGTCCACATTTTACTGCTTTTAAAGATAGGGGACCACAGACGTTGGGAGAATCACTTTACTAGTTTTATGATGTGCACTGGAAAAATACCAGTAAAACCAAGCGGCTTCCTTCGAAAAAAAGCGATAAATGCTGATATACATAACCCAACACGTAAAAGCAATCACCGATCTTGAAATGTAATTTGGTTAATTCTCGTGAAAAAAAGCGGTAGGAAAGAAAGTACCATGACGAGAGCTAAGAGGAGTAACATGAGACAGAAATTAGGGGGGAAGACAGAAGACGAGTAAACCCCCAACCAGACGTTCGACGGAGCACCTACGTGAAAATGGGAAGCGCGCTAATTTATAGTACACAAATTACAAACCTAGCTTAACTGAGAACTTTCACAAGCCGTTATTCAGCGAAACCAAAAAGTAGGAAAAAACGACGACTTTGTCTGAAGGATTAGAAGATAGCATAAAGGACACACGAGCAAAACACCTTACGTGGAAGGAAGAAAAAAAAGTGACCAGGACCGAGGGTGGCTTTTTGACGACTCTTGTTATTTTTAATCGCGCAATCTACTAGAAGCACAGGATGAGCCAGCACAACTCATTACGTAGTCCCAAAGGCCAAAAACAAGCGATGTATTAAAAAAAGCATCGTACGCGCACTAAATGCCAAAGGCTGTCTGCAAAAGGTGGCCTTCCACCTGTGCGAAAGTCTTGGCACCGTAAATACCGCTTGGGTAGAACGTGGTCACGAGCAGAGGGCGGCCATTGCCGATGGCCGTGGAAAGGTCCCCACTTCTAACTACACCTTCACTGAGTTTATGTAGAAATTCATGTGCTGAGTTGGTAGACGATGCCTGCACGAGCGCAAAACGACGGTGCGATGAACCACTTGAGGTGATTCTTACACTGAGATAAGCAATGCTCGGATAAAACGACGCGTGCATTAAATTTAATCAAAATGACATTCGAGCAAGCCATTTCCCACCCCTATTCAGATCTCTTACTTAAAAAAGACAGTCTTACTGCCTGAAAAACAAAGATAATAAATGTGTGTGCACAAGTTTATATTTCACACGGAACAGGTGCCTTGAAATGCATCTACCGCGCTGGTAGACGTTCAGTTACACCAAACATTACCAACCAACGCCCTACTTCTATCCAACATTAACCCACGCAAAACACGAATGCTATGTTACGCAAATTATAAAAGCACAAAAGTCACTCACATTCGGCTTTCATACCAACACCGTTTAATACGCAAGGTTCACTGTCAAAAGTTTAATAGCAATGCATGATATAATATAATGCAGTTAAAAAACAGAACGTCAAGTTTGGTGGAGGCACTTGGCATAAGTCTTCTACAGACACCGTCTAAATGACGAAAGCGGGAGTCTTACAAAAAATACCTCCAAATTTTTGAGAAGACGCTAGTTTGCTTCTCATCGAAATTTTATTTTCAGCAACAGGATTCATGCAGAATAAGTGGAGGAATGTCAAAAAGTCCCCTTGACGTCATTTACAATCAGCACAACCACTCCTGGTTTAATTAGGCCGCGTCTTCCATTTCTAACGCAAGTGGTTAAAACCGTATCAACATATGAAGGAGTGAAAATACATGAACTTTAGGAAGTGATGGCGATTCAGCTGGGAGAGTTACTGAGAAGCTACTCCACTCCCACTAAACGACAGCATAGGAGCCCAACTGTGAGCTAGTCAGCAATTCGAAAGACGGAATTGGTTTCCAACTAAGTAAAGAAAGACCAGATGCTGCATGGTAAAAACAACTATTAAAGCAGGCAGTTGGGATTTAGCACGACCACAGTTACTTTTACGGAGTCAATAGCGAACCCTATGGAACACTAGTATAGGGTGGCTAGAAAAGAGGTGGTCAGTGGTGCGACCAACCGTGCATCCAAAAATGCTATAAATTTGTCATTTTTAACTCATATCGAGTCACCACTGGGTGGCCAAGCTAAAGTAGGTATTAATGCAAGTGTGAAAGCGACACACAGATCGGTGTCACAGCCGGTAACGTGTAAACAAAGAGTGGAGGAAGCTGGTGTGCAAATTCTGATAGCGACGCCAAGGTGGAAGAGGAAACAAAGCGAAGAACGTTCACTTTTCCGTGAACGACGCGCAGATTTCCACACATTTGTGGCTAAATACGGGCCTAGGCCACGAGCTAATTAAGTGACAAAATGGACTGTATTTTTAAAAAAAAACAGGTGTGGGCAGATGTAAGAAAATGGGTTACATCAGCAACTGAACATTACTGAAATGCTCAAAAAGCGGACAGTGTGACTTTCAATACGACATCAGTCAATTTCTGATACACCAAAAAATGGCCACTAAAACACTGAAAATAAGCCAACAAACGCAAAATAAATATAGCATGGTCAACAAGAGAAGGGTTTAACAGCAGAACATAAAATGTTGAACCTGCTAAATAGCAAAAATACCCCTGAAAATCAACGCCTGGTGGCCAAATCTAGCCCTCCCTAATGTGACAAAAAGTAAAAATCCGCGAACGTTCAGTTACGAAAAATGAAAATGGGAAGCGCAATGTTTACCTCAGTAACGGCACTGGAGAGGTCATATGCAAGATCTCCATAGCTAGCAATAGCTGCTTTTATCAAATCCTGATTTTGTTCCGAAACTGACGACTTGGCAGAGTCAAGGGCTGATCGAAGTTGCGAGAGATGCTGCCTAGAAACAACGAAACACGACAGCGTTTTGGACCAAACAGAATACACCTCCAGCTCCATTTTTATTCATCTACAGAAAATTTCCAGACACTTTGTTTTTATTTCTCTAGATGTTGAACCGACTAAAAGTCTCAGCTGTTAATTGCCCAGCCCAAAATTAGGACAACCTGTCTGCTTCAAGAACAGACTACCAGGTGGCCATATGGAACAATAACAGCTGAACTTGCTGAAAGACATCAATCTGGTTCATGCTGTTAGCTTTTACAACGAAGTTTTGTTCTAGAAGTTTCGTGGCACAAACACATTACGGTAAGTATCTACGCAGCTGGCTACCGCTGACTTGGTCCGCCAAATGAAGTTTTCTTTCCCGACAGGACACCGAAGGACCACCTTTTTCACTGCACAAATAGGCAGTGTGAGAGCACAGAGAATACCCTGCAACAAAAATAAGGGCACATATGAGGTAAATGCAATTCACCGTACTGTGCGACTTGGTGGCTCTCCTTGGCTTTGCGCTGAGCCGCTTCCAACTTGTCGCCATCCAAATTTGCAAAACCAAGCTTCCGCTAAAAGTTAAACACACCGGGTGTTACTTCTGCGTGTTAACACTATGAAGCAACTGGCACTGGAACGTTGGGCTCACCGATGGGTTCTGATAATCACTTATGCAACTTTCGATGACGACTTGTAGACGATGAATGTCGTCAAGGGCTTCTTGGGCTGCCTTCTTGGAGTTTCGTATGGCAGTTTTGATGTCGACTTGTACATCTAGGGGAGAAACAGGTTAAAAAATAGCATGAACAAAGTTTGAATCAAGTTTCTCTATTAAAAAAAGGCAAGGGAACTAATAAATTTTAAATCACGTGCCCCTGAACACTCGGATTACTAGCCTCGTTTGTCTGGCACGCCACCCAAATTCGGAAAAATATCAATGAAACATAGAGCCCGTCTTCCGTAAAAAATAAACTGCCGTTTTATGCCAAGGTCTTGATAGATTTGACAGTCACGCTCAACTACTGGTCGGCATGGCAGACATCTGAAGTTGCCCGGACCACCAACGTGTTACAACGGATTCGTCGAAGAGAAAATTATCGCCATTGACGAAAACGGGCAAGTAAATTTGTTAATTAGAATAATGATAAAAAGGAAATAAAATGTCTCGTGACATTTCCCTTTACTTTGTAACCGCCAAAACCTGGCGTTTTTAAATGGATATTTCGCTCCGTACTTAAGAGATAATAAATGTCCCACAAATTGATGGGAACAGAAAAAAAGGGAGTTGAGGTGGTTAATTCGACACAAGAAGAGTTGTTTGAGTTACTCACCGTTTAAAAGTATGACGCTCGAATTTCTTGGCGTTGCTCGAACACGTACTACCCTGTTTTCGAATCCACGAACTCAACAACCACATTTTATCGAATGAAATTACAAAACAGCGTAAAATAATAACGACTTCAGTCAAGTTAATTAAGTTAACCGTACTGTTCGGGTGCATACACATCTGTAGTTAATGCTCAAGATATTTTCCAATTTGAATAGAGGGAACTACTGCTGTCTGATTTAAGTACGTTTGACTCAGACGCAAAGACTCAACGACACTAAAATATACAGCCAGGTAAGAAAAAGACTCAAACGCAAAGTCGGTATTTATACGAACCATTGAGAACTAACTAATGACATAAGCGTACAGTTCAGTTTGGCACATGGGTATTGAGGAAACCCGAAAAGCCGGCAACAAACACAACTAATTACTTGTTTTTATTAGTAGCTAATTATTTTAAAAAACGTCGGTAATTCCAGAACGACAAGTGCAAATTCCCTTTACGCTTTTATAAAACTAAACAGTCAGCCTGTCGGAATGCAATGATAAATTTGGATTGCTGCATGAGTAACACCGATCGTCATGTAACAAGCTAATATTTGTATTTTAAAAAAATTGACTATGCAGGATGCAAACTACGCACCGAATTTGTATGCGGTTTTTTACTATATAAAGAACTTGAATTTGAATCCAATCAGCCGGAATGGAATCCTGTCAAGGCGTATAGAATGGAAGAGATGGCGTGAAATTGTGAACTGACCAAATCAAATGGTCGAATTGCATACAAATTCAGAATCAAGCGGCCCAATGTGAGACTTGATGGATAAATTGGAATTACTAGGCGCACTTACCCTGAAGATGTTCAGGAATTGCAGCAACTTGACGACTCACATCTGATGCAGAGGGGAAACTGGGACTAATATTGACGCCGGTAGAAAACTATAAGTGATCAGACGGTGCTGACTCCCAAAATAGAAGGCAAGTCGCATAAAATACTGGGAATAACATGCTGCTAGATCGACGAATCGCTAACATTAGAAGGCAATAAAGTCTCTCACAATTTTCCGCAAACTTTGAGGCAGAAAAAGGAAAGCAGAAAATTAAGCTAATTCAATGCGGGAGGCGGTCTATTTCAAGGCAGTGGAGAGGCACGATGTTCGGGTTACACCAATGCCCATGGCCATTTGGGAATTACTGCAGTCAACGCTTCAGTGGCGAAAGCCTACACCAGTGCACCAGTGCTGTCCCTCGGATGATTCACTGTGGCAAACTTGCTCGCTAAATCTACTCACCGTACGTTGTGCAGTAATGAAACATGCACACCGTGACACTCACCTTGTGAGCCACACTTAAGGAATAGACAACTTACCGCTTCAAGACTGAAATGGACAGAAACAAAAAAGCAAAAAGGTAAGAATTAGTAATACATGGGTTTCAGAAAGCAATAATATGGCCTCATCGTGATGGCTCCAACATGTAAAGAGTGTAAATTTATTCGACATATTAAGCTGGTAGATTAATAAAAAAAACCCTGTTTGGGGAAAAAGGCTAAGCGAACTGTCCTACACAGCTTCCGAACAGCCACGGTCCCAGAGTAATTTGGGCCGTCGGCCACTAGCTTCATATGCCGAGCCGTTTGGTACGATTGCCACTAGATATAAACGAAATCTCACTTTCTTAAAAATTATTGCCTGAGCTGAAACACTATGAGAACCCAATATGTTAATTTGGCATCGTTTTATGACGTCTTACGTCTGCTTCGGCTTCGCTTAGGTTTCTGAAACACGATAATTCGAACTAAGGACATTATTACTTTAATTGATAATTTTGTAGGCGGGAGGATTCGTGTACCTCAACTCCAAGCCGGGTTAGGCGTTTAAACGGACTGTTTTAATATCACTGTAAAATTTTCCAGAATCAGTAATCAGTGGCTGCACCAGATCAAAAAGTGCGATTGCACACCTAAAATCGGCCGCCGCAGGCAAAATGCAATAAATTCCGCGTATATTTATTCATTTATGCGATAATACTTAAGGCAACAAGCCAATGCTCTTGAAGATGATCGCTACATCTTGATGGCACAGTGGATATACGCTATACAAAATGGTGAGAGTAACATAAAGCCGTAACTACACGTGGTAAGCCTCGCTTTCCACATCGTTCTCTGTACTCTGTTAAAGTTCACGTTTTAATCCGATGCAACAGGCACAAAAGGTGAGCGATAGTAGACACAGGGCATCGGAAAATAAGCTTGACAATAGCAGAAACCGAGAGGCGTGTTAACATGATGCTATTGAGATTACAGAGCACTATCAGCTAGACATTGTCCTCCCAAAAAATGACAGCAACGGCACTAATGCATCAGGGGATAAACCCTAAACATTTTGAAAAAAAAGTTCATCAGTTTTGGTCGAGGGTGCAATCCATCATGATTGAAGAGATATTTGGTGGGCAAGGAAAAATTACACAAAACAAACTACAAGTTAAATATTATCCACCTTCTAATACACTACTTTTTTTTCAACGCCGTGGAATCTACAGGGAAGGGTTAAAAACAGGCCACATAGAAAACCTTACCTGCTTTTATGGTCGGAGGAAGAAAAGGATGGTAACGTAGGCATCTTTGGTAGTTCAATTGAGCTCATTTTCTGTTTATATTTAGCAACGAAATCGTCAACCTGCTGTATATAGGGTTTCAAGTGCGGTGCAGCCTCAATAGCATATTCGCGAACTGTTGGGCTCAGGTAAACAACCAATACAGCTCCTCCAACAACGCCCATCAGACCAAACAGGCTACGGAAAATAGAGCTCTGCTGAAGATAACAATGGGTAACACAAGTTGGCTGACGCCGAGCGTGTGTAGATGAGCTGAAAGAAAATAGACCATGATAGAATGACTATCACGGAAGAATTGTGGGCATAAAGAACGGCTGTATTACAGAAACATTAGATGAGGCACTAATTAAGTGTAAGCAACACAAACAACTCTGAAACTGAGAATTGTCAATCCCTTTCAGGAACTATTCTACTGTAGAGTAGTAATAGCACTTTTTATAAAGAAAAAACACAAGAAATGTAATGCTCTGACATGAAAACGGATTATTTATAGAGTGAAAATAGCGTAAGTGTCACATGCATGAGAGCTTGTGAGTGCACAATCTAGGCCATTCATTAGCCAGATGGGCATCAAATAAAGTCCAAAACCAGTAACTTTCACTAAAGTAAAACAGCTAAGAAAGGCAGCCACATGTTTAGGCTATTAATAACCTAATCCCGAGCGCAAAACAAAATGGTAAACTAACAAAGTGAATTTGTCGAAATTATCAACCCTAATAGATTGCTAATTAACAAAAGTAAAGTTCGCCTTGCTCACAAGGTGGTCAAACTTTCAACGAGGTGCAAACGTAGAATAAATAAATGAATACAAGAGAAGAAAATGATGGTTCAGGGAAGTTAGATACCAAACGCAAAAAAAATCAATATTAAACCTGTAGGACAGTATCACGAAAAAATCAAGGAAAATTACGAATAAGCTTGTGAGTAATGGGAACGGCAGACAAGAACTGCATTTTCATCCAGATTCAAGAAAATGAAAATATCCTACCCTGAAAATCTGGCCACAGATGTTCCATGAGTGAGAATCGGACGAAGTATGAGAGGGAATGACTTCTGTTTATGCCGAAAAATAGATTCCTTCAATGATTTAGTTAAAAATAAAAGACTAAGTACCTCTAGAATCGAGTACATCCGAGAAATCATTTCGGTTTGAGAATAAAGGCTACCACAACGGCTTACCAACCAATGAAAAGTGGGCTGTCAAGATTATCGCGAGAACGACGTCTGCATGTTCAACGGTTATAGTAATAAACCTTTAATAAATTAAACGTGTGGCCGCATGCTAGGAAGGCAACTAAGGAGCCGAGGGTTAAAATAATTCCACGTAGCCTTAAGTTATTCCAATGTGGTTAGAAAAAACTAACAAAGGTTGCTTTAATAGGGCTGAGGGTGGAACATTATAGGCCAAGTAAAACGGACGTTTGAATTTTAGCCCCAACAATTTAAATATAGCAATCGTGTTTCGAGCTAGATTTCCACGTTATTTGTGAGCTACCATTTGATTTAATAATGTTTAAATAATTGTATGACTGGTATAGAACAAGATTTCTTTCAGATATAATTTGATTTCTCAAACCGATATTATCTTAAAAGATTTTAAAAAAAAGGAATTTTGTATTTTCTCCAGTAAGAGTCAACAAATTGCAACTTAAAACAATAGGAAAACCATAGAATCGAACTCATCCAATGTAGCTGAGAGTATAAACCTTAGAACTATACTTGGGCACCATTTTTCTGATTTTTCAAGACTGGTTTATTGCATTGAAGTGCGCAACAGCCACATTCCTATGATATGACTACTAATAAAGCTAACACATAAGAATACATGCCACAAACTTCACCAAATTTATCTCAAGCACTATCAACGATTTTTCTCACGATGTCTTGGTAAAGTTATCGGCCAAAACACAGAAATCTGGCAGAGGAAGTCCTTATGATGCCAGTCTGAGGAACCGCAAAATTACTGTTAGCAGTGACTTTATACCATAAGTCTCAGATTTGGTGAGTCATAGAATTTCATGTAGGATCGAAGGGCAGAATCGAGCTGTTATTCGAAAGATACAATTTTAATTAGATAAAAAAACATGCACCATCCCATTGCAATGTTGGTGGTTGAATGGGGTTGGGTACTGCCTTGTGCTCATTTATTGTGTCTAAAACTACGACAAGGAGCCCAAATGGCAATGATGATGGCCAAACAGCAGACTGCTTTCCCAATATTTTAGTTGCATAAATGCTGATAAACTCTTTTATCACGAGGTTTGGTAGTTAGAGTAAGTCTAACAAGGTCGTAGTTAAAGATTTTTGCCGTCATTCAAGGAACGAATAAAGAAAATAGTCGAAATTATGCTTGAAACTGTGTGTTAAGGAATATGACGTGTTTCATTGGGAAACAGAAATAATACATAACTAGTTTCTGTTTAGAATAGTAGGCTGCAAGGAAGCCCAATGCTATTATATAAAAAATAGAGTTAAGATAACAGAGATGTCACAGTAGTCACACTAAGATAATTCTGAGGCACACTGAACAGTTCACTGCCATGACTCCTAAGATCTAGATTTACACCTCAAATCAATGGTTTTTGTATTCGAAAATTCAAAACATCATGAACGCCTTTTTCTATACATAATATGAACTGCACTCGACATGGTTGAGAAATGAGGAGAGTTGCTGAATCAGGCTTTCCCATTTCTTCATGTGAAATTTGTGATGAGAACAGTGAGTAGTCGATGGAGCCACAATGAGCTGACGAGGAATCGCAAAGAGCATTTCTCAAATCTTGTACAGTGGAGACGGGGATTAATGGTAATGGTTCGAAGTAAGTGGCCTGTAAACCGACAAACAGTCGCGTGTTGAGATCACTTGAACAAGGTAAGTTGGTCTGCACCCGAGACAATTATAGGTAGCCACGGACG